AAGTCTCGTTTAAAGTTTGCCACAAACCACCTGGGAGACACACCAAACATGTGGAAGAAGGTGCTCTGGTCAGATGAAACCAAAATCAAACTTTTTGGCCACAATGCTAAACCATATGTTTGGCGTAAAAGCAACACAGCTCATCACCCTGAACACACCATCCCCACTGTCAAACATGGTGGTGGCAGCATCATGCTTTGGGCCTGCTTTTCTTCAGCAGGGACAGGGAAGATGGCTAAAATTGATGGGAAGATGGATGGAGCCAAATACAGGACCATTCTGGAAGAAAACCTGTTGGAGTCTGCAAAAGACCTGAGACTGGGACGGAGATTTATCTTCCAACAGGACAATGATCCAAAACATAAAGCCAATGGTCATCCCACCATGACCCATGTCACTTGCTCCCACTGATGTCTGCTGTTATTGTGTCCCTGGGCAAGACACTTAACCCCACATTGCCTGAAGCCCCCGCTGAAAGACCAAGGCCATCTTGTCCATGACAGAGCTGGGAAGTAACAACAAAAACAGACTTTAATCCAACCGTAGCTTTTGGGCGGCTGACGTTGTGAGTGGTTCTTATCAGAGCGGTGAGAGCTGCTGTATATAAATAAAGCTTACTTACTTACTTACTGATCCAGGAGAATAAAAATCTGATCCAGGAGAATAGAAAGGCTTCCTGAGCGCGGTTTAGCAGCAGACTCAAACTGACCGACAGGGTCATGAGGGCCGAGATAAAGACATACACCTGTTCGACAGCTCACGAGGATCCAGCTGACTCTAGTTTGATGACACAGGTTTAGCATTTGTTAAAACGTAGCAATAAAGAATAATTTATCGTCAGAAATGTACGGTATCACAATAGTTACTGTATTTTGACATATAAAACAAATACCTTTTGCCGTTGTTTAGCTGTGGCTGTGGAAATCTGCTGAAAAACATAATTCTGAAGTTTGTTGATGGTCACACAAGGGTGCATTAATATATATATTTATCAATCAATCAATCAAATTTTATTTATAAAGCGCTTTTCATACATAAGATGCAACACAAAGTGCTTTACAGATTGGTTAAAAACAATCCCGCCGGCCCAAGACCCCTCCCCCAGACCACCCAACAGACCCCCCCCAAACCACAGACAAACACACACACACGCGCTCATGAACACTCATACACACACACACACACACACACACACACACACACACACACACACACACACACACACACACACACACCAGTAAAACAATAAAAACATGATGAGAGACTTGGCAGGGTTCAGATGCAACCAGCTGAAAAAGCGTCATCCAAGGAGCCGTCTGCACCAGGAGCAGAGAGCCGCCCGTAGCCACAGGGGACGACACAGGACCCAGAGGAGACATGAAACCGAGGCCCCAGGCCCCCACCAGGCCCAAGAGTCCGACCCCCGCAGCCACACCGACCACTGCTCCCGGTGCAGAGGGCTCCTCCAGAGGAAACACTGGGTACACTAAAAACAATACAATAAGTAAAACACTAAAATGTGAGACTAAAAGGAACACACAATACATGAATAATAGCAATAGCAATATAATAAATAATAAATAATAAAAAGATAAATAGAATGGAATAATAAAAACTAATCAAAAGCTACTCTAAAAAGGTGCGTCTTGAGCCTACTTTTAAAAATATGAACGTTCTCTGCGGCCCTGAGCTCCTCCGGCAGACTGTTCCAGAGACGGGGGCCGTAGTGCTGGAAAGATGCCTCGCCGTGAGTGTGTGTCCTGACTTTGGGGATGGTTAGGAGTCTGCTGCCGGAGGAGCGCAGGGGCCGGGAAGGTTCATAGGATAAAAGCAAATCTGAAAGATAAGAAGGCCCAAGACCATTAAGACATTTAAAAACCATTAAAAGAACCTTAAAATCGATTCTGAAACACACGGGGAGCCAATGCAGCGATTTTAAAACCGGTGTAATGTGGTCCCGCCCCCTGGTCTTAGTCAGGACACGTGCGGCCGAGTTTTGGAGTAATTGAAGACTTGCAATGTTCTTTTTGGGAAGACCAGAGAGCAGGGCATTACAATAGTCAATGCGACTGGTGATAAAAGCATGCATCAGCGTCTCCGTGTTGCCCCGAGAGAGAATGGGGCGGACTCTGGCGATGTTCTTTAGATGATAAAAACCTATTTTTGTGATACTCTTGATGTGAGGAATAAAAGTCAGCTCAGAGTCAAAGATTACGCCCAGATTTTTCACTTGTGATGATGGATTAAAAGAGTGTGATTGGAGTTTTGATAAAAGTTTCTCTCTCTGGGCCTCAGGACCGATGACTAAAACCTCAGTTTTGTCCTGGTTAAGCTGGAGAAAGTTTTCTGCCATCCAGGATTTCAGGTCTAAAATGCAGTTAAAAAGAGCATCCATTGGCCTGGTGTCATCAGGAGACATGGAGATGTACAGCTGAGTATCATCTGCATAACTGTGGAAGTTAATTCCATGTCTCCTGACGACACCGCCAAGAGGGAGCATGTACAGGTTAAAAAGGACTGGACCTAAAATGGAACCCTGGGGCACACCACATGTGATTTTATGGACCTGAGAGGAGCAGGTGTCCAAACTTACCATGAAGGATCTGTCTGTTAAATAAGAAGTGAACCATTTGTGGACAGCACCAGAGAGGCCGAGGTGTTGTAGGCGTGATAAAAGAATTGTGTGGTCTACTGTATCAAAGGCAGCGCTAAGATCCAGTAGAACCAACACAGTCACCTTTTTGAAATCATAACTTAGTCTAAGATCGTTTAAAATCTTTAAAAGAGCAGTCTCTGTGCTGTGGTTCACCCTAAAACCTGATTGAAATTTCTCTAAAATTTGCTGCTGATCTAAAAAGGCATTGAGCTGGGTAAAAACAAGTTTTTCTAAAATTTTGCTTAAAAATGGTAAGTTGGATACCGGTCTGTAGTTGTTAAAATCATTAAAATCTAAATTGCTCTTCTTCAGAAGGGGTCTCACCACAGCCGCTTTGAAGGCTGCAGGAAAGACCCCAGTCTGAAGAGAGCAATTCATCAGGTTTAAAAGCTCCTCTCTAAAAGATTCATAAAATGACTTAAAAAATGGAGTGGGGACTGGATCTAAAAGACATGTGGTGGGCCTCACTGAGGAGAAAACTTTATCAAGCATCTCAGCATCAACCAGGACAATCATGTATTCAGACGAAGAAAACTTAATATTTATAAATCCGACTCAATAACAACTCAGACAGGTGCACTGACAGAGAGCAGGATTGGTTTTGTTCTATCGGTCTGCTCCACTATAGCCTGGACTTACCACACCATTGTACTCATTTCATTTCAGACTAAGGTCTCGATTTGCTCCATTGACTCCGTTAACAGGTGGGAGGGGCTAACTCCTTTTGCAGATTGAAACCATTGGATCTGAGTTTACCGTGACGTATGTAATGAGCCCGAGTGAGTGATTCATTTAAGTAGAGCCACAATCTTTGCGAGCGATTACATTTGATAAATATTCCTCTTTCTCCGGCTCCAATTTCTTTTAGAACCAGACCAGATTATTTTATTATCGCATTCTTCGTTGCCAAATTTCAACCGGCCAATTCGGCGCAAACTCTTGACATCACCCACATCTAACTCCAACACCCGGCACTCGTTGATTGGTCGGATGGGATTCAGCCGATGTAACTGCAGACACTGGGACTAGACCCAGATGGTAAATGCAGGGAAATGATAATTGGCCGCAGTTTACGGATGGCTAAGGCCAGGCTAGCTCCACTAGATTTATGATTGATTTTCTGAGGTTACATCTGATCCATCCCTGTTGAAAACACATGATGACTTGACTACTTTTGGGGTTTAGGGATTTTTCCCACAGTATTTTAAACATTACATTTTTAATTCCATCTTTTAGTATTTTTTCATATTCTGACATACAAACACATACCCCGGGAGATCTTAGCAACAAAAAACAAATGTAACCCACCAAATATTACATGTTATTATGTGATACTGTTCCTTTAAACGGAGCGTTTTCACATCCGTCCATTAGAGGGCGCTATTGCTTCTAGTGTGAGAGATCCGCCATCTTGTGAGATGTGGACATCATATGTTAGCAAAAACTATGTACAAAAGTGTTTAAAATATTTCTGAATTGTGTGATTAACAACTTGTTTTGGGTTCTTAGAGTTGATAATAAGAGCAAGAGGTTCTGGAGACAAGATTTTTTCGAGTTTGTGTGTTCTTGATCTCCGGTGAGTCTGTTGCTAGGCTAAGCTAGTTTATGCTAAGCTAGTTTATGCTAAGCTAGTTTATGCTAAGATAGTTTATGACACTGCGTTTTCTTTTGACATGATATCGTGATTACTTCTTTAAAAACCAATCGGAGAAAATGTGAAACTATAAACAGATGAGAACTATTTACAGAAACATGATTATAAGAAGGTTTTACATTACAATGTTCAACATTAATGTTACATTAGCATTAGAATGCTGCGCACTGTAAAATCCTGCAAGCTGCAGTGAGTGATTAGTTGTAGTTGGAAGATTAGATAAAACTCATCAATATGAATATTGACTATGAGAGAGTTATATTAATGTTATCCTGCTTATGCAGGTTGTTTTTTTAAGACCTGAGACTGTTTGGTGCTTGGCTGATGTCACAGAGTTTGCAACGTCTGTTGCTGGATCCAGAGAAGGACGACGCCCGAACATCTCCGTTCATCCACCTTGGCCTTCATCAAAAACAGCTGAATAGCTAAGATTTTGTGCATATTCAACAACAGTAAAATCAAACTACCCGGGCTGCCTATTTTCTCAGAGCTCTGAACTTTATTTTTTTGCTGAATCCAAAGGGACTGATAAACATTACATCGGGGTAAACGATTTTTTTCAAGGTAAATTGGTGTTTCAGAAATAAATGGCGGCTTTTGTTAACTTTTCATACTAAACATTTGTGGTATAAAATTATTAAACCTCCCTTCCTCCTGCAGAAGAAAATAAAAGTATTTTTTCTGACGCAGATCTTCCTGAAGAGTGACCGTGTGTCCCGGATGGTGCAGAGTGGAGGCTGCTCGGCCAGTGACTCCCGGGAGGTGTTCAAGAAGCACATAGAGAAGCGTGTGCGCAGCCTCCCGGAGATCGACGGTCTGAGCAAAGAGACGGTCCTGAGCTCGTGGATCGCCAAGTTTGACACCATTTACAGAGGAGAGGAGGACCCCCGCAAACACCAGCAGCGCCTCACCGCTTCCGCCGCCTCTGAGCTCATCCTCAGCAAAGACCAACTCTACGAGATGTTTCAGTCCATTCTGGGAATCAAAAAGTTCGAGCATCAGCTACTGTACAACGCCTGCCAGGTAACAAAGGCTGGATATAAGTCTGTTCCTTTTAATCTTATCGCAGTTGTTTTCTCAGAGGACTTTACGAAACTGTCGAACTCGTCAACACAGATCATAGAATCAAAAAGTTCAAACACAGAGAATCCAATCATAACAAACACACATTGGTCCATAAATGTTGAAAAAGTTCATAATGTTATTGAATGTTGCGTGTCCTGGATCATCACCACAGTTAGACTCAAGGGCGTAGGTTTGCGTGGGGACCATGGGGACATGTCCCCACCAATATTTGGTGAGGACTAAAAAGTCCCCACCAAAATGACATGATGTCCCGTGACCCGGACGGTCCGGGACACATGTCTTTCGTTTGTGCACACGTCGCGCCTCCTCCTCGCCTCCAGAGCAACAGCAGCAGCAGCAGCACGTGACCCGTTCCGTTCTCTGCAGTGATTGGCTGTCTTCTTCAGCGCCAAACTGAAGCACTGAGCGACTGTTTAATTTTTAAAAGTTAGCCAGCGTGAAGCAAGTGTTTTTTTTCGTTCCCTGAGCGTTGTAGCACGTGAGTAATCAGAGGAAAGTACTGTAGATCTATTACCATTCAAAGTACTTACGTTATTTCTAATCTGTCAGCGCACTGTTTAATGTTCCGAGGAGCTCACACGGCACAGAGACAGAACAGAACTGGCTCCAATAAAGAAACAGGTTGGTTGAAAGGCTGAAAAAATACTTATTGTGCTCTTACTATCCAAAATGTATAAGTGGGTGTGTTGTGTGAATCAGGATAAACTAGTGATGAAAATATTCCACGGATCCACGATTTACAACCTTTATCTGCTGATAATGTAATTTCTGTGAAATGTGTGACAGCGGGCACTTGCTGTTATTTGCTATAAGCACATTCAAGCGATGAACTCGAATGTGCACGTCCTGGTGCAGCTGCTGCCGCTTTGTAATGACAGCCGCGGCGCTCAGTGAAAGCACAGCTCTAACATGGTACCGAGCTCGGACCATATGCAGACAGAACCATGTTGCAAGTGCGGGTCTCCCTCGTATCTCCCCCGTTTCTCCCCTGTGTCTCTGACATGTCTCTCCCCTGACTCTTCCCAAAGCGCAACCAGCGCTCCCGAAATTAAAGCTCGGATACCTAAATTTTCCATTGCGTTAACGATGCATGCTGGTTGTGCGCAAAACACACCACAACAGGTCATTTAAGTTTTTATTTTGCATACTTGAGAGCCCTGTGAGTCATTACTTGCCTTTTTGGGTTGTGAGTGGAATAAATAAAAAAGAAAATATAGAAAAATCCACACTGTTACTTATTGCCAAACTCTTGTTAACTCATTGTATTGAGAACTACTATGTAACTTTTGACATTGGCCAAGTTATATAAATGATTCTGCAGTTCATGTATATGAATCTCTGTTTTTGATTGTCTATACCTTCTTATATAATTTAGAAAAAATGCCACCTCCACAAAAAAAGATAAAAGATATCAGGAGCTTTTTTAACAGTTGGAAAGTAAGTAAGAGAAAGCACAAGTAATAGCCAATTATGAATTGTGATGATTAATCTTCTGTTAACATACATAGGAAACTCAACCAACAAGAGAGAACAATATAGGGAATGTTGAGGTAGAAGCAACCGGCCCTTCAGTGCATCAGGTGAGGTTGGAATTTTGTAGGTATGCATGGGACTATGAATTGTTTTTAGAGATTGATCGTATATGTCAAACAATGTAGTGAGCTACTCACTGTAGATTCTAATTCAATATTTTCTCCTCTGTTTTTATTTATTATAGGAAATTGAAAGATCAGAGCATGATTTATTTCAAGTATCGAGAGCAGTTCCTGAACTGTTAGAGCCTCAGGTGAGGGCTATTATGTAGATTTGGATTAGGTTTAAGTCAGTATAGAATGAACGCAACACAAAACTCAGAAGCTCTGATCCAATTCGGGCGTTCTGCTCTCCCAAAATTTCATCCACTGAGCGGCGCTGTGATCAAAAAATGACACCGTTTGTTGCCCAGTTCACTTCCGGTTGATTTCATACAATGGCGAATATGGCTCACGAAAACAACAAACGATTGACAGTTCCTGAATTGCGTGAAAGGTTGAAGCGAAAGGGTATTTGCAGTGTGGGAAAACGAAAGGAGGAATTGTTGTTGCTAGTTCAACGAGCGGATGGTGTTTATGAAGATTTAGAAGAAGATGACAGCGAGCAGAGTGAACGAAAACGGCTGTGTGTGCGAGTGACAGATGGTAACAATGAGAATGAAGTTCAGAGGGAAGAATGTGAATTGGACGGATGATTTGCGCGATATGCCACTAGTTAGAGACGGGAATGTATTTGCATAATGTAAAATGACGAAAACACTCAACCATTTAGAGAAAATGCGCCGGGCAGAGAGAACCGGAAGTTGCGAAGGCAAGTGTTACCCATAATGCAACGCAAAATTCAGTCGCTCCTCCGCCCATCGGATGGAATTTTGGGAGAGCAGAACGCCCGAATTGATTTTGTTTTAACTATTAGAAAAAATCCTTAACTGCTTCTCATTCAGTCTACAGCTGAGTTTAGTATAGAAGGCAACACACTATTGCAAATATAGTGTGTGATTACACAACAAATTCTGGGGGAGAAACTCTGGACCCCGTGTCAATGGGTGTAGACTCAGGTCGTAGTGAATGTCCCCACCAAGATTGGAACCAAACCTACACCATTGGTTAGACTATAAGATAGATAGATATATAGATAGATGCTGAATGCTTCATTAGCATTTTTCATAAAACTCTCTCTGCTCTGGTCTGGACCAGTGTAAAACTATGAACACTGAACTGCACAGCAAAAGCAAGAAAATAACAAAACACAAATAAACAGAGACACTCAGGACTCGCTGCCGTTTCCAGAACATTCTAAAGTAAAACAAATCTGATTCATTATAATCCATTCAAAAAGTACATTTGGAAATACACAAAGACCACCAACATGAAAAAACATCCATCAGGAGAAAGTGTGTGTGGGATTGAAAGTTTAGACGGCTGCTTCTGAGACCTGGCAACAGACAAAGCGGAAGAAAACGATATAGTATGCATTGCTTTCTATTTGGATTCCATGTTTTTTACATGTTTTATCGTGAGCAGAGAGTTGAAAAATGGCTGCCTCCTCATTTCCAATCGAAGAGCTGCTTTTCTATGGAATACACCCATAATATAAGTGTTATAATTAGTGTATTGTATAATAATTATCGTTTATCGACTGAGATCAAACATTATTGGCACATATGATTTACATGATTACACCTGAGTCTGTGGTTGAGTTGAGAGGTGTTGATGAAAACAGGACCTGTAACTGCAAAGTCAGGCTCTAACTAACCTTTCAAATACACCCAGGGCCATACCTTTGATGGTTGAGACATGTTTGCCTTTTCTTAAAGCGATTGATACAAACTTGTCACGTTTAGCTGATATATGTAAATAACATAGTTAGAAGTTTATTCAGTTTCCTTCAGGTTTCAGTTTCAGTTTTTTCAGACAGAACAAAGTCAGGACATGTAAATGACGATATAAACATATCGTCATTTACATCATAGATACGTCACACACAGAAAAACACACACATGTGTCGCATCCAGAGACAATCAGAACATATCAGAGTCATCACATGGATACACAATCGGATCGTTGTGACTTGTATAGCTATCTAACTCCCAAATAACATAAATATGTTTTTGTTAAACATAGTCTCTATCTCAGGGGAACACAGAGCCATAAAAACCCACAGTGATATTGTAATTATGATAATACATTCTAATTATGGTGCCATCAAACCACCACCAATCATTCACACCAGACTCATATATGAACTTTGAAGTGTCTTGCCAAAGGACACAACAACAGTTTGGTGCTTTAGACCCGCAGTTGCCGCAGCTCCCTGAGGTCTCTTGTCAGTTATTAAAAATGGAACTTGGGTGCTTGTTTTGTTGTTTCTTAGTCTTTATGGAGGACGTCCTAACATCATGTAACGTTTATAATATTATCATGAAGACTCCCACAGAGTGCTCCTGACCGCTCACTGCTCCTGACCCCTCACTGCTCCTGACCCCTCACTGCTCCTGACCGCTCACTGCTCCTGACCCCTCACTGCTCCTGACCGCTCACTGCTCCTGACCGCTCACTGCTCCTGACCCCTCACTGCTCCTGACCCCTCACTGCTCCTGACCGCTCACTGCTCCTGACCCCTCACTGCTCCTGACCCCTCACTGCTCCTGACCCCTCACTGCTCCTGACCCCTCACTGCTCCTGACCCCTCACTGCTCCTGACCCCTCACTGCTCCTGACCCCTCACCACTCCTGACCCCTCACTGCTCCTGACCCCTCACTGCTCCTGACCCCTCACTGCTCCTGACCCCTCACTGCTCCTGACTCCTCACTGCTCCTGACCCCTCACTGCTCCTGACCCCTCACTGCTCCTGACCCCTCACTGCTCCTGACCCCTCACTGCTCCTGACCCCACACTGCTCCTGACCCTCACTGCTCCTGACCCCTCACTGCTCCTGACCCCTCACTGCTCCTGACCCCTCACTGCTCCTGACCCCTCACTGCTCCTGACCCCTCACTACTCCTGACCCCTCACCACTCCTGACCCCTCACCGCTCCTGACCCCTCACTGCTCCTGACCCCTCACTGCTCCTGACCCCTCACTGCTCCTGACTCCTCACTGCTCCTGACCCCTCACTGCTCCTGACCCCTCACTGCTCCTGACCCCTCACTGCTCCTGACCCCTCACTGCTCCTGACCCCTCACTGCTCCTGACTCCTCACTGCTCCTGACCCCTCACTGCTCCTGACCCCTCACTGCTCCTGACCCCTCACTGCTCCTGACCCCTCACTGCTCCTGACCCCTCACTGCTCCTGACCCCTCACTACTCCTGACCCCTCACCACTCCTGACCCCTCACTGCTCCTGACCCCTCATTGCTCCTGACCCCTCACTGCTCCTGACCCCTCACTGCTCCTGACCCCTC